TAATTATTATTATTATTATTATTATTATTATTATTATTATTATTATTATTATTATTATTATTATTATTATTATTATTATTATTATTATTATTATTATTATTATTATTATTATTATTATTATTATTATTATTATTATCATTATCATTATTATTATTATTATTATTATTAATAGTAGTAGTAATAGTAGTAGTAGTATTAGTAGTAGTAGTAATAATAGTAATAGTAGTAGTAGTATTAGTAGTAGTAATAATAATAGTAATAGTAGTAATTATAATAGAGTTAAATAAAAGCTAGTTTTTTAATATTTAATAATAAAGTTATATCTTTATAATTAATTTATAAAAAAGAAATAAAGTTATTAGACTTTACTATTATAATAAGAGTAGTACTATATAGACTACCTATTTTTACTATATAGATAAGCCTTATATAATCTACCTTACTATAGTACTTTTTAGGTACCTTAATTTATTAATAGTATATATACTAAATAAAGTACCTAAAAAGAACTACCTAATTAGGTAATTTATTTTCCTTATTATTAACTTTAATACTATACTATTACTAATATATTAAAATTTCCCCTTTTTCTTCTTTTATTATTATAATAACTATAAGTTATATATATATTAATTCTATTATTACTATTACTATTACCTCTATTTAATACTCTTAATAAATTATTTTCTTTATTATAATAATTCTATTATAAGAATAGTATTATAATTACTAAGTACTATATATTAGAAAAGTAATAACTTAATAATACTTACTTTAATATATTTTATATAATTACTTATAATAAAAGTTATTAGTATATTATAAGAGGTATTAGTTTATAAAAGTATTTAATATAAAAAGTAAATTACTCTTTTTATATTATTATAAAAAGAAATTTAGTTTTAAATAACCTCTAGACTTATAAAGTTAAAAATAGTTTTTATAATTACCCTCTTTTTATAGCTTTTTATACTTATATTACTTATTAAAAATATACTTAAAATTAAATAAAGCTTTTTATTAAGTTTATTAAATATTAAACTCTTTTAGGTTATAAAGTTAGTTAAATTATTTATAATACTTATATTAATAAATAACTAGTTTTTATTAAAAAAGATATATATAATAATTATTAAAAAATATAAATTACTAGTTTTAATAGCTTAATACTAATATAATAATAAATATAAATTTTATAAGAAAATAATATTTATTATATAATTAATTTTAATAGCTTTAAGCTAATTAGAATTTTCTAGACTTACCTTTAATATAAGTTAATATAAAAAAGATTTTTATAAGTTATTAGCTATAATAATATATATAAAAAAAACTATTTTAAAATATACCTTTTCTAGGTTATTAATATTATAAATTAAAACTTAGTTATTAATTTAGCCTAAGACTTAATTAATACTAAAACCTTTAATAACTATAAGTGATTAATTAATAAACTTAAATCCTTTTAATAAGATATTAGTATTTAATAACCTAATATTATTATTATAAATAATAAAGTTATACTTAAAAAAGTATTTTCTTTAATATAACTAGATATTTAATAATAACTCTATATATTTTATATTAATACTAATACCTAATAAGTAATTTATACCTACTAGAAGAGCTTTTCTAGTAACTAGGAAAAGCCTACTACCTAAGAAGATAATAAGGTTAATATTATAATTAGATAGCCTAATTATTATAAACGAAGAAAGGACGTAAGGCAGCTAGGGAGCGGCCTAAGGACGTAACTAGACAGGCGCCTATAAGTCACTAGATTAAGATAAGAGGTTATATAACTAGATTACTATAAAGTATAGTAAGCTAGTTATAATCTATAAAAGAAGAATTACTAAGATTACTAATAATCTAAAGTAATCTTAGTTTATAATAAAAAAATAAATAAGTACTTAAGGAGAAGGTATTCTTATAACTAGGTAGTTTAGATCTTTACTAATTAATCTAAGTAATATTAAGTAATTAATTTTAAAAGTTTTACTTTTAATAATTTTTTATATAAAAATATTATTTATTATTATTTTATAATATTTAAACTTAACTTACTTCTTAAGAAATAAACTAATTATAAATTAAAAATAAGTTATTATTATATTTTAATTAGTTTTATTTAATAAGTTATTTTTAAAATCTTAAGTAATTAATCTTTTATAATATTTATTATAAATAAAAATATTATCAACCTTATATAGGTTATATAATAAATATATTAGTAAATTATAGCTTTAATTATATAAGTCTAGATACTTTAAACTAACCTAAGAAGAGAAGTTATATATAATATACTTAAGTTCTTAAAATCTAAGGCTTTTAATAAAACTAAAGAAAATATTTATATCTTCTTTACTTAAGTTAAGACTTACTTAAAGGTTAATATTATTATTAATAAAGAACTTTTAAAGATTTTTAATATTAAAAACCTTTTTACTAGTAAAG